TTCCCCTGTCCCGCCTAGATAGCAGGAGTGCCCCTCCCCATCTTCTCATCCCCCCCCAAACCCCAAGTGTAACCACTGAAAAGGTCTGCAAACATCGACAAATGTCCCCTGGGGATGGGGTGGGGGGGTAGGGGTTGCACTGGAAATGTTACTTTAAATGGAAAAAGCGTCTTTGCAAATGTGATGAAGGACTTCGAGATTGCCCTGCCATCGTTAAGTGTCCTTATAAGAGGAGTCAGAGGAGATTTGACCCAGACAGATGAGACACCAAGCTGCTAGCACTGAATACAGGAAAGGGGCCCTGAGCCAGGGAGGGCGAGCAGTGCTGGAGGCCTTCAGAAGCTGGAAGATGTGTCCCCCTGCCTCTGAATGGAGTAAGGCCCTGCTGACACCCCGATTTCACACTTAGATCTTCTGGCCTCCAGGACATTAAGAAAATAAACCACTGTTGTTTTAAGTCACTAAGTTTGTGGTAATTTGTGGCAGCAACCATAGGAAACTAGTATAGTTACTGCAAGAAATAAGCCTTAAGTGAATGGGAAGATACACGGTGCTCACATGGGTTGGAGGACTCAGTGTTGTTGAGATGTCTGTCTTCCCCAGACTGAGCTGTGTGTTCATCATGATCCCAGTTGATATCACAGCAGGGTTGTTTGTTGTTGGTTTTTGTTTTTTTTTTAATGGAAATTGACAAACTCATTCTACACTTTGTTGGAAATGCAAAGGTTTTAGAACAGTCAAAATTCATCCGAAAAAGAAGAACAAGGTTAGAGAACAAGCACTACCCAACTTCAAGGCTAATCCAGACAATGTGTGTGGGCATAAAGATAGATAGATAGATCAAAGGAACAGGGTAGAGTCCAGAGTTGACCTGTGTGCACACAGACAACTGATCTTTTATCAAAGTGCAAATGCAGTTCAGTGGGAAAAGAGCATTATCTTCGAACAGATGGAACACATGGATATCCGTATACAATAAAATTGAACTTTAAATCTTCACACTATATGTGAAAATTAACTCAAAATAGATCCTAGAATGAAATGTAGAACTTAAAACTGTAAAAATTCTAGAAGAAAACTTAGGAAAAAAGTCTTTACATCCTTGGGTTAGGCAAAAAAAGTTCTCAGATACCAAAATCACAATTCATAAGAGGGAAAAAATGGGTAAATGGAATTCAAGAACATTGAAAACTTCTTTGAAAGGCATTGTTAAGAGAATGAAAAGACAAGTTCAGGTGAATAGGAGGAAATATTTGGAGATAATTTCTGATAAAGGGCTTGTGCCCATAGCTCTGTAGGGCTCTCAAGGCTCAATGATAAGAAAACAAACGTCCCAATTAAAAAATGGGCCAATGATTTGAATCGATGCCTCATCAAATAAGGTATATGGATGGCAAATTTAGTTCAGCATCATTCGCCACTATAAAAATGTTAAGTCCTCAATGAGATACCAGTGCATACCTGTTATCGGTTCTAGAATAAAAGGGCTGGCCATCCCACGTGTTTGCAAGAATGTGGAGCAACAGGAACTCACACTGCTGGTGGGAATTCAAATGATCCAACCACTTTGGGAAACAGTTTAGCAGATTTTTTAGAAGCTGTCCATTCAACTGCCTTTTCATTCAGTCATCCCCTCCTGGGTGTTTACCTGAGAGAAATGGAAGCCTCTCCACCCAGAGACTGACACACAGATGCTCGCCACGTAAACTAGGAGCAGCCCATGTCCAACAGGCGAAAGGGAAAACAGCTGTAGTTTAGAGCGAACAGGTGGTACTGAGTGCAAGAAACCAGAAAAGAGCACGGACTGCGTGACTCCGTGTGAAATCCTGGTAAATGCAAGTAATTTACTTGTGACAGAAAGCCAATCAGAGAATCCCCTACCGGTCCAGTGGTTACAATTCCCACTTTCATTGCCAAGGGCCAGGGTTTGATCCCTTTTTGGGGAACTAAGATCCTGAAAGCAGTGTGTGCTCACCCCCAAAAAAAGCAAGTTAGCAATTGCCTGGGGGAGGGAGGTGGGAAGCTCACCCCGGGGGGGGGGGGGCGGCGGGGACACTGGCACGAGAAAGCTGGAGATGGGGTGGTTAGGTGTGTTTACTCTGGTCACATTCATCAAACTTTAAATATATACCATGTGTTGTATGTTGATCATACTCAACACAATTGTAAGTCATTTGCGTCGTCCTTCATGCAACTAAGGGAAGACGTTAGTAGGCAGCCAGGTTTGTAGTCTGGAGCTTGGGCTCAATTAGAGATGAGTGGTCACTGCTGATGGGCTCCTGGGTGCGAGTGCCTGTGGAGCAGGGCTCAGGAGCACTTGCCACTGGGGGACAGGGCAGAGCTGGAGGTCTGAGAATGGGGTGCACCTGTCCCGGACTGAATGCCCGTGTCCTCCACTCGTCTTGAAGTCCTGAACCCCCAATGTGATGGGACTGGGAGACGGGGCCTTCGGGAGTGACTAGGGTCAGCTGAGGCTGTGAGGATGGAGCCCCGTGATGGGCTCAGACGCCAGAGCTCTTGCCACCCTGTGGGGACACACGGAGAAGGCCGCCTGCAGGCCAGGAAGGGGCCCCACCAGACTGGCCCCTGAGCTGTGGTGTGAGTCGCCATCTGCCGTGTGCATCTCAGCAGCTCCAGCCAGATGAGGTGGTGCAGGGGAGCAGGGCCTGTGTGTACTATCCAAACGTTCAGCGTGGTGGTCTCGGAGCCAAGTATGTGCTAGTTGTTAGAATCAGTAGACCCTAATCGGTGTTAGAATCAGGAGCACATGCTGGTCACTCTAAGCCAGTGCCGTGGCTGGACACAGCGCCCGTGCTCGGAGGTGTGGGTAGGCATGGCTGTAACCAGGCCCAGCATGGGGACGCTAGCCCTCCTACCGGGGCCTTGCCTGAGACACCCTCACCCGCTGAGGCCACTGCACTGCTGGGCGGGGGAGCTCGTGTTCTGGGCTGAGAAGGGTGGGGCTGGCACCTGCCCTGTGCCCCCAATTAAGATGGAAGTGAGCTGACTTCAGTATAGGGGTCTTCAATTCCTGCAAATCCCCCTCGCAGGTGGTGGGCTTGCCCTCAGGGCCCGCCTGCCCAAGGCAGTGGGATGCGTGTTGTCTGTGTGTAGGCGTGTGCGTGTGCAAGGGGCCTGTCCAGGTTGAAAGCTCTGTGCCCAGAGTCCAGGGCAGAGAGAAGCAGATGTTCGGGTCTCCCTGGGCACCCCTTCCGCTCCTGAGTGCTGCCTCCTTCTCCCTCCCTGCCTTAGACTCAGTGCAGGCAGTATAGCCGAGGGAGGGGGGCCCAGTCCCCTCTGTATCCTCCCCACATCCTTCATGCCCCAGGGTGTCAAGGGAGAGAGCCCTGTGTTCTGATCTCTAGTTGTCGGCAGAACCTCCATGGCCCAGGCCAGGCGTTGTGGCTGCGGTCAGGGCAAATCCCAGGGAAGCCAGGAGCCCCTCTCCACTCCTAGTGGGCTGGCAGGACCAGCCTGAGCCCGTGGGGGCAGTGGAGGCAGAATCGTGACCATGCCAGGGAGCTGGCCCTAAATTGCTGCTAACCTGCTCGACCCACACTGGGGCCTGACCATGTTTCACATCCAGAAACATGTGACCTGAGTGCAGGAAGTGGCTGCAACAGGCCACATTCATGGAAGAGAGGGCTGTTTTTCTTCTAAGACAGTTTTGCTCAAGGTTTCTTGTAATGAGTCCCTGGGGTTTTAGAAGTGGGACACGCTCATTAAGCCTACACCACCTTCTCCTGAGGGCTCCACGGCTCCCCCGTTCAGCTGGTGGGGGGCTGGTCTGGACAGGACCTCGGCCCCGGGCTCTGCTGCAGGACAAGGAAGGGGGACCCACTGGCAGCCTCAGGGGACAGACGGGGGCGCCTGTATACGGAGGGTGGCTGAGGGGCTCACACGCTACACCTCTCACAGCAGGTTAAAGCTCGGCATTCCTTCACCTGCACACAGTTCAAACAGTGACTAGAACTGATGACTGGCAAATTTCTAAGAGGATTGTTAAGACCCTCACGAGTTCTGTCTTGCTGGAAACCACATTTAAAACTCAGAACCCACATGTCAGCAGCTGCTCCACTTCTTAAGCCCATGCTGGGGTGGGGTGCAGGGGGGACCCCATGTCAATCACCAAGCCCTAGTCACCACAGCAGCCTCGCCTCTTCCCTGTGTCACCAAAGAGAAAGTTCCACAAACAGGTTTCCCCAGTCACCTGTGGTCAGTGAGACTCCTGAGCGAGCAGAGAGCTTGAGAGGCGGGGGCTAGGCGCGGAGTAGCCGCTGGTGGCAGTGTCTCGAAGCAAAAGTGCAGAAGACAGACTTGCTTGGGGCTGGGTGAGCTTGGCAGGTGAGGGCTGCATGGAAGGGGTGGGCTGTCCCAAGTGACTGTCAGCTGCTGGATGTTCACAAACCATGTCCAAATACAGAAGAAACTTGTCCCAGGCACAGCGGGTGGGGGTCTGTCTGTCCCATTCGGTTCCAGTTCAGCTTCTGGGCATGACTCCCTGTCCCCAAGACGTGCTCACAGCCTCACACTGTCCATGATTCGGGAGCAGGTCGGACCAGATGTCAGACAGGTTCTCACAGAGTCCATGGCACAAGTGCAGACTTTATAACCTAGTAGAAATAAAGTAAGAGGTGGGAGCCCCCAAGCCCAGCTGCCCAACAGTCAGGTGGACAAAGCCCCACATGGCAGACACGCAGTGCCTCTCTGTCGTCGCTCTTCATTTTAGGCATTCCTTTTCGTTAGGGTGTAGGTGAGGCTCGATCACAAAGTGATTAGAGCACAGCCCCCGAGGACCGGGGGGTGGGCTTCCACCCTGTCTGTCTGCCTGGGGAGCCGGACACCATTGATATGCCTCTAAAGCCACTTGAACCTTTGTACCAACAGGGAAGGGACACGCACAGAAGTTTATCACTTTCTGAGTGACTTTCTGGGAAGTAACCCGGGGGTTGTGCGATGAACTGTTCTCTGTTCATTGTGTCGATGCTAATTGCTTCCAGGTGTTTACCTCCAACGGCCCCACCGTGATCATGCCCACCTGGTTCTGCTCCCGAGCCTGGTTCGCCCACGTGGGCCCGTTTGATGAGGGCGGGCGGGTAAGTATGGCCCTTGGATTTCCCCCCCACCCCCTGGGCATGCGGGGAGGGGCTGTTAGGGCCTTCCCGGCGCTCCCTGGGCCTGCATGCTGGTGGCTGGGCCTCCCCGGGAGCAGCAGGTTTCTGTGTGAAGACCGTGGGCACCTGCTTTGGGCTCCTACCTGCAATAGCCACCTCATCCTGGTTTAAGGGCTGTTTGTGGGAAAGCGCAGGATGCGGGCAGTGCTGCCCTGCCCCCTGGATGGCAGCGGGAGAGGAGCGCCCCTTGCTCCCCTGCGGGTGGCGGCCCCGGAGCACTGGGGTCCAAGCTGGCCGGGGCCTCCCCCGCAGAGCAGGGCCCACGCTTGCCTCTGGCTTAGAAATGGGGACCCCGACTTCCTCCCCCTCCCTCCTCGACGGCCTTAGAGGGAACACGTCGACATAACACTCGGTCAGAAGGTAAATCTTAAGGTTGATTAGTTTGCTTTTCTTTAACCCTCCTTAAATTGGCTTTGAGACGTGTGTTCTGGTCTCATGATGGATGGAGCCTGTGGGTCAGACTTCTTAAGGCCCATTTGGCTAGAAGGTGGGGGTGATGCAGGCCCAGGCTCACCATCTGCCCCAGGACCTTGGCCCCCCGACCGGCCCGCTCAGAGTCTCCTCTCCACTTTGGAGGGGACTGTCACCCGCTGCCAGGGACCCAGTGGATCCTTGGCTTGGGCGCCACCCCCCCCACCTGACCCCACCCAGCATTTCTCTGACCACCCCCAGGGAGAGGTCAGCTCTTCTGCGGCCCCCTGCGCTGGACCCTGGTCAGACAGTCCCTCTCACGGCTACCCAGACTTGCCCTCCAGAAGCCGTGCTGGTCTCACGTGTACAAACACGGGGCCCCGGCCGCCTGTCCTCAGGACTGGCCCGAGTGGGGAATCTCCACCGGCCCTCCCTTCCTGGAGGGTCTCGTGAGCATGTAGCCGCACTCTGCCCAGGGACTCCCACCGGGGGCTGCAGGGGGCCAAGGCCAGAGAGGTGGTGGGATGTCCTCTCTGCCAACAGAGTCTCCTTGAAATCAAGGCATGGGGGGAGCGAAGGGACACCCCATGAGTCTCCCCACCACTAAGCACATGCTGCTAAAGCTGCTCTCACTGGTGCTGAGTCCAAGCACCTGCTGTTCTCATTCTTCTGCAGCACATAGCCCCGAGATGGTCATCAGGAGACATTCCTTAAATCACAGCCATGAGCTGCTTCAGGACGGGAAGTGTGTCAGGCCTCTTCAGTTCAGTTCAGTCGCTCAGTCGTATCCGACTCTTTGCAACCCCATGAATCGCAGCACACCAGGCCTCCCTGTCCATCACCAACTCCCGGAGTTTACCCGAACTCATGTCCATCGAGTCGGTGATGCCATCCAGCCATCTCATCCTCTGTCGTCCACTTCTCCTCCTGCCCCCAATCCCTCCCAGCATCAGGGTCTTTTCCAACGAGTCAACACTTTGCATAAGGTGACCAAAGTATTGGAGTTTCAGCTTCAGCATCAGTCCTTCCAATGAACACCCAGGACTGATTTCCTTTAGGATGGACTGGTTGGATCTCCTTGCAGTCCAAGGGACTCTCAAGAGTCTTCTGCAAGACCACAGTTCAAAAGCATCAATTCTTCGGCGCTCAGCTTTCTTCACAGTCCTCTTAGCAGGAGTTAATTCTTCCTGGAGAGGGAGCTGTGGAAGGAAAATAAAGTCCATCCCTCTCTCTGTACAAGAATCAGGGACCAAGGACCTGGGCGAGGATGGGGCCGTGGCTGCAGCGAGGGAGGGATGTGGGCATGAGGAGGGGGTCACAGGTGGCCGTGAAGCCCACTGCCAGGATGAGGACATGAGGTGTTTCCTGGCTCCTTCAGGTCCTCCCCCAAGAAAACAGGTTGAGCTTAAGAGTTACTTGTGGAATACATTTGAGGGAGCACCATGTGCTGGGGGCTGGATTTAGGTTTGGGGGCTGGTCCTCAGCTGATTGTCTGGGTCTGGGAGGCTGCAGTTCTCACCCGGGAGGGAAGAGCAGGGAACTGGAGCCGCTGAGACAGTTGAGGTGCTGAAGGTCACAGAGCAGGCTAGTGGCAAGACAGGGATAAACGAGGACACAGCGGGCATGAGCCGGGGCCCGCAAGGTGCACTCAGAGTGAGGTGGGAGGGGAGTGGGAGAGTTGGAGGAGGGTGTGGGATGGCACCCAGCTTGAGGGGTCTGGATGTCCCCAGGAGGCAACTGTTTCAGGCTCTTAAACCAGAAGGAAAGTGACCAAAATGGTGTTTGTTGTTTCAGAACCAACTCCGGAGGGGGTCGTGGTTGCTCAGAAGAGCTGCTGCCCAGCACGGCAGACACTTTTCAGAAGTGCCTTTGCACCCATTGGAAAGATCCTCAGGCTTGGAGTCGCTGTGTGGCGTATGAGCTGTCGCCCCCTCTCTGGAGTTGGGGGGGCCAGGCTCCTTTGCATTTTAGCCATTCTGACTGGGGTTCTGTGGTTTTCTGTTGTATTTTAATCGACATTTTCTAGATGACTTACGACGTTGAGCAATTCTTCATGTGCAGATTGGCTGCTCCTATGTTGCTTTATGAAGCATCCAGATTTCTTTGCCCGGTTTTGAGTGGAGCGTCTTATTTATTTGGCCAAGGAGGTCTCAGTTGCAGCACATGGGATCTTCCATCTTTGTGGAAGCACGTGGGATCTTTAGTTGCAGCACTCAGACTCTGTGGGATCTAGTTCTCTGACCAGGGATCGAACCCAGGCCCCCTGCATTGGAAGCCCGGCATCTTAGTCCTTTGGATTTGATGCTCCCAATGCAGGGGGCCTGGACCGCCGGAGAAATCCCTGTGGTGTCTTCTTGTTGAGGTGTTGGTGTTCTGGGTCAGATATGTGCTCGTGGGTATTTCCTCCCATCCTTGGTCTCTGGGATCTTCCCTCACTCCCATCTATGCTCGCCCAGGTTCTGTCCCGAGAATGTCAGGGCAGCAAGGCTGGGGCGTCCTCCTGTTTTGTGGGTTTCATTTCCCCACCCCGGCACCGCCTGCTCTGATCCTGGGCCTCACAGGTGCTACAGAGGTTGGCCTCTCAGACACCCAAAGCCAGAAGCCGGCATCTTCTCTCGTGCCTTAAAAACCTCTCTCAGTATCAAAGAAGGTTTGTATTTTGTCATCTCTGTATTGAGTGCCCTTAATCCCATATGCTCTTCTTAAACCTTTCCTGGTCAGCTTTTTATATTTGTTTTTGAAGGTATTCTGACTCCTACCTATTGCTTGAACGGCAGTCAGTAGGTCAGCCTATTCCCTCTCTGTCTTCTGCTGATTTTGTCGTGTGATTTCTGCTCACATTAGAAGGCGGGCCCACATGCTGAATCCCTAGGTGCCTGTCCGAGTCCCTGGACTCAGCCTCACACGTCAGGCTTCCCCACGTCTGAAGGGCCGTGGCGTTCCTTGTTCCTGCACCTTCAGATTGTGGTTTTGGACACACGAAGGAGGGATGGACTGAACAGAAAACCCTGGGCCACACCTTCCCTCCTGTTCTGAGGACAGCTCCCCGCCGCCTCCCTTTGCCTGACACTGCTGGGACTCACCTGGAGGCAACGGGAATTCCTCCCTTGTTGTTAAAGACTTGGTTTCACTGGGGTTTGTCTTTATGCTGATAGAGTTCCGGTGTGTGGGAACCAGGTCTGCTCTTTTTTTGGCTTATAGCTTTAAGTTTTAGCTGTCCGCCACTGCTGTGGTTTTCTATTTCAATATTCTTTATCTTCCATTTCAACAACTTTCTCTTAACCCTTTTTTATTATTTAATTTTCTTAATCTTCACTTTCTTGTCTCTTTTCCTGCATTTCTTCAGTGCCCCTTATTTGTATTCAGATCTGCTTTCCCTGGAGAACTTTCTAATTTCATCTTCATTTCTCACATAATTTTATCTTTTTCTTCAATTTCTTTTCTGAATTCAGTCAACCCTCTCTTATTTAAAAGGTTTATTGGGGTATAATTCATATAATTCACCTGTTAAAATGTGCAGCTCAGTATATTTTAGCACATTCACGGGGATGCACAGCCATCACCACCATGTGATGTATGGAAGAGCTTCACCTCCCAGAGAAGCCGGCCTGCAGTCACGCCCCCCGCCCCGGGCCTCCCCAGCCCAGGCTGATCCTCCTCCTCCCAGTCTCCTGTCTGTCCTCCTTTCTGCACGGGTCCAGCTCTGTTAGTTATGGAATTTCTGGTTCATGATGGCCTCCTCCGTTCTCAAGCCTTGTGGAGGACGTGTGATTTCACTTGGAGAGTTATTTACAGAATTTTTTCTTTTTTTTTACTTGTTAATTCTTCCTTTTATTTTTATACAGCATGGCAAAATGAGGAAACAGCTGACAAGAGAATTTTTTCTCCTTCATGATTTTTGGTGGTGGTATTTTTTATTTGGGGCAAATGTCTGTTCACAGAAGTGTTTGTTTTCTGTGTCTTCTCAAGCTGGCTTTGTATGGCCTCTGTTCACAGGATTCCTACCCCAAGGTTGCTGCCTCTGTGACCCCTCTGTGACCCCAGCGTTGAGGGCAGGAAGGGGAGGAGAGAGTGTTCCCCCTCCTGTTTCCTTTCGTCCCAAAGGATCCTCATCCCCTTTCTCCACACCTCCAAGGGCACACACCCTTCCAACCACATGCCCCAAGGGCCCCCAAGGCAGGGGGTGACTCCCCCAAGTCTTCTCAGGCCCCTGTTTCCATGGAGGACTGGGGCTCAGCACCTGGTCTTCCACGTCCTCTGGCTAAATTCTCAGTTGTCTCTTTGCCAGAGATAAGGAAACTCTGGGGTTGAGTCCCTACTGGTCATGAGCGGAGAGGACATCATCTCTCCTTCCTAAGTGTATAAAGCGCAGAGTTACAATGTGCTCTCGAAAGGTGCCTTTGAAAATGCAGAAAATTAGAAAAAGGAAAAACATACAAATCACCTGTGAGCCCATCACCACACGTCTGCTCTGAACTTTTGTGTGGGGTCCTTTTGTCTTTCTTTTACTGTGGACAACTTTTAGCTGAGCTGCAAACAGGTTTGTTTTTTTTTTTAATTTGGGCCGCACTGGGTCTTCACTGCTGCTCGCTGGCTTTCTCCAGTTGCGGCTGGTGGGTGTTCCTCTCTAGCTGCAGTGTGCATGCGAACACAATTGTGAAAGCTGACTTTTAACATTTTGGTATAAATCCTTTCATGACCTGTGGTCTTTGTGAAAACACTTCAGTCTCCACAGTGGTCCATCAAGTCACAGCATGACTCAGCCAGCTGAGGCTGGGAGTGAGGCGGTTGCTGTGGTTCCCGCGGCGGTTTCCTATGCGGTCTGCCGCCCTGTCTCTAGTGTGTTGAGACCCCCTGGCGGCGGGTCCCTGGGCAGGGGTGGCTTTGCGTGGAGACCGACGCGGTGCTCCGCGTGGCAGCTCAGGGGTGAGAGCCCAGCGGTCTGCCCCCGGGGTGGCTCTCAGGCCCGAGCCAGGAGGTGGCAGAATTCATGACCGGGTTATCACAGAGCCCAGAGGCTGGGTGCATGGGGCCCAGTCAGGAGATACGCTTGGGCTGTCCCAAAGGGGTCGGGAGTCCCCTCTGCCCGCAAGGGTGGCGACCACGGGGCTCTCCCAGGGCATCAAGACCTCAGAGGCCAGCCGTGCCGCCTTCCCCTCGGGATGGATGAGCTGGGCGAGCACCTGTGGCTCTGCCGGGAGCAGTCGGCCCCGCCGTGGCGCTGGCGCTGCCGTGGCCTGACCTCGGGCTGCAGAGGCGGCTAACGGGGCAGAACAGGCTGGGCCGGCGCACGGCAGCCTCTGCCCAGAGCAGGGGTCCTGACAGCGTGCCTGGCCGTCTCCGGGCTCTGCTCGCCAGACGCGCCCTGTGTGACCTTCTGTCCAGACCCTCTGCTCTCTCGCTTTCCACCTTGAACTCAAGGAAGTGAAGGAGCTGCGATTGTTATCCCCATCAGGACTGAGGTCCCCCAGCCCCAGACTGGCCAGCAGGGCAGCTGCGGCCCCGCCGGCCGGCCCTGATCTGAGCCCTTCTCCAGACGAGGGTGGGAGGCCTGGGTTCTCACAGGACAAGAGGACCCTGTGGGACACTGCGGACCCTCAGAGCAGCGTGCCCGTCAACAGGGAGGGGGCAGTGGGGTCCAGGGTCCAGTTGGAGGTCATGAGTGAGAGTGACAATGGGGCTCGGGTCTACTCCTCAGGCACCTTCTTGTCCTGGAGCCAGCTCTTATGGTCACGTTTGCCGAGCTCTGGCCGTGAGCTGGGGGCCGCAGCTGGCCGTGTTTTTTTCCAGCTGAGGCCTCACCGGTCAGGCTGGGCTTGAGCGCAGGGGCCCCCCGCCGACCCCCATCTCCCATTGCCTGAACCAAGGCTCTGTTCTGAGTGGACATATGTTTCTTCATCCTGCAGGGTGTCCCTGAGGACCTGCTGTTCTTCTACGAGCACCTGAGGAAGGGCGGCGGGGTCGTCCGTGTGGACCAGAGCCTCCTCCTCTACCGCTACCACCCCGGCGCGGCCACACACTCCGTCCTCGAGTACGCAGGTCCTGGGGTCCGGACCGGATGGGGCGGGGGGGACCCAGTCAGGTCTCTGCCCCAGGGTGGGGGCCTGGGGGCATGGCTGACACCAGGGCACACGGCCCACGGCCTCCCAGGAGGGAGGTCATCCTCAATCTGTGGACCAGCGTGTTCCTCACGATCAGGGCTAAGTGTCTGTCCTCACTTTTATTATTTATTTCCGTTGCTCTGGGTCTTTGCTGCTGAACAGGCTATCTCTAATTGCTCCTCATTGTGGTGGCTTCTCTTGTTGTGGAGCGCAGGCTCTAGGCACTTGGACTTCAGTAGTTGCAGCTCAAGGTCTCTAGAGCATGAGCTCAGTAGTTGTGACATGGGGCTTAGTTGCTCTGTGGCACGTGGGATCTTAGTTCCTGGACTAGGGATCGAACCCATGTCCCCTGCATTGGCAGGCAGATTCTTAACCGCTGGACCAAGGCTCAGCGGGTAAAGAATCTGCCTGCGATGCAGGAGACACAGGAGATGTGGGTTTGATTCCCTGGGTATCAAAATCTTCTGATACCCATGGACAGAGGAGCCTGGTGGGCTACAGTCCAAAGGGTCGGACACAACTGAGCACCTAAGCACACACAGAATTCACATGTTAATGTTGTCTGGGGGTCTTGTTCTCACTTGATTTGAGCTGAAAGGACTCAGAATGAGCCCAGCCCACCACTGATGTGATTACAGGTGGGCTGGGGGCGTCCTCTTCCTTCTCTGCCCACCAAGGGGAGGGTGGCTGGGGCAGAGGTTGGGTCATCCCCTACATGGGGCATCGCAAAGGCTGGCCCCCTCCTTCTCATGGCCCACAGTCTCCCAGGTTCCAAAGCTGGAGGTCGACTGCCAGGGGCAGGGCAGGGGAGGTGCCCAAAGTGCATGCTGGGTGAAGACAAGGGAGCTGTGTGTTTTCCTTTCTTTAGTTTGAACTCTGTGCATGTGCACATGTATGTTTGTTTATTTCAAACAACCACAAGTGTGTAGACCCTCAGTGCTACCATGATGCTGCTCACTTGGGAATGGAGAGGACTGGAGCCCTGAAACAGATCTGTGATCAGGCCATCTTCTGAGTGGAAAGAGCGTGATGCAAAGACACGCATTTGAGTTTTTGGACACAGAAGAGACTCTGTTCTTCCCCAGAGGGTGTGAGACTCATTGGAAGGTGTGGCCTCTCAGCTACTGTCCAGAGAGGTCTCCTGTCCACTGTCACAGCAGGTGTGATGCTGATTGGAGCATGTGTTGTGGGAGGATTGCAGATTGCAGTATCCGTATTCATTTGGGAGATCCTTGAACTTTTGCACATGCGCTATTCCTTACTGAAGCTTAGCTTCTTTGTTTTCCAGCTTTAAGCAAAAGAGCTTGATTTCTCTTGTCTTTTGATAAATCTGAATTTTGATACAGTAGCTTTAGTGAAGCATCATAGGGAGTTTGTTGTCATGAACTTGACTCAATGTAAGTGCAATTTGCATACTTGAGGTAAAGGTCTAGGGGGACATAAGAATCCTAAATGTGTATATCCCTAATCACAGAGTTTCAAAACATACAAGGCAAAAACTGGTAGAAATAAAGGGAGAAGTAGACAAATCCGTAGTTACAGTTGGACAGTATAAATAATAACTAAAATTAGATTAGTAATTTTAAAACTTTTCATAAAAGCCAAGCCAGATGGCTTTACTAATATATTCTATCAAAAATGTAAGGAAGACTAATTCCTTCAGGAAATAAAGAAGAGAAAGATCTATTGGATGTCAGGAGGCGGGAGCTTCACACTTACTCCCTAAGACCAGTATGACTCTGAAGTTTAAAATGCTACAAGAATATTACAGGAAAATAAAATTACAGACCAATATCCCTTATGAGAATAGGTGTGAAAAATCATTCAAAAAATATTGCCAAGTCAAATTCAGAAATATATATGAAAGGATAATACATCATGAATATAAGTCTGGTTTAACTCTCCAAAATCATAAGCATGATTTACTACAGTAACAGAATAAAGGATAAAAATCACACAGCCCAATAGATGCAGAAAAAGCATTTAACAAAATTTAATATCCATTTATGGTTTTTAAAACAATCTCTGCAAACTAGAAGTAGAAGGAAACTCTCAGTCTGATAGTATCTACACAAACCTATAACTAACCTCATATTTAATAATTAAAGACTGAAAGTATTCCCTTCTAAGATCAGGAGGAAGCGATCTCCTGATTGTTCCTCTCACTACTTCTGTTCAACATAGTAAGGGAAGTCAGTGCAATAAGATCAGGAGAAGAAAAGATACAAGCATTAGAAAGTAGAAGGAAAACTAGCATCATTTGTATCAATAGATGGCATGATTGTGTTTCATAGGAAATCAAAACCAATAATATAGTGAGTTTTCCAGGATACAAGTTTATAGACTTGCAATAAAACAATTGGAAAAAAAAACGCAGTTTAAAAAATGTACAATGGCATCAACAATAGAATATTTTTAAGTAAGTGTAACAAAGTATATCTCTAACTGCTAAAATCCATTCCAGAAAATGCTAAGGGAAATTAAAACCTATAAAACAGATCAATGGAGAGCGATACCACATTCATGGATTGGAAGATTTATTATATATTTTTAAAATTAATTTATTTTTGGCCGTGCTGGGTCTTGGTTGCTGCCTGCAGGCTTTATCTAGTTGTGGCCGGCGGGGGCTGCTGTCTAGTTGCACAGGTTTCTTATTGCAGTCGCTTCTCGTTGCAGAGCATGGGCTCTGGGACACAGGATTCAGTAGTTGAAGGGCGTGGACTCAGTAGTTGCCGTCTGCACCGTCTAGAGCTCAGCCCAGTAGTTGTGGTGCACAGGCTTGGTTGCCCCACGGACTATGGAATCTTCCCAGACCAGGGATCGAACCTGTGTCCCTGTGTCAGATTCTTAACCACTGAACTACCAGGGAAATCCCAAGACTCAGTATTGTTAACATCAGTTCAGCCCATATTGATCTGTAGATTCAGTGCAATCCCTGTAAAAGTCCCAGCTGGCTTCTTTGTAGAAACTGATAATCTGATTTTAAAATTCACAAAAAAATCAGAGGACCCAGACTGGCCTAAATCTTGAAAAGAACAAAATTTGAGGATCCATTGTGCCTGATTTTAAGACTTACTCTGAAGCTACACCAATCAGGAAAATGTATTGGTTGCATAAATGCAGAAATACATATCAGTGAAGCAGAGCAGACAGTCCAGAAATAGACTCACAACTGATTTTCAACCACGTCTCCAAAGGCATTCAATGGGAAAAAAAAATATTTTGAACAAATGGATATGCATATGGAAAAAAAACTCGCCCCCTTATTGAAGAATTAATTCTAGATGGCTTAAATGTAAAAGTAGAGCAGTTAAATGATAAAGCTTCTAGAAGAAAACATCAGGGAATATCTTCACAACTTTGGGATAGGCAAACATGTATTAGAGAGGACACCAGACTCTGTAGCCATTTAAAACTTGACAAATTGAACTTCAAAATTAAAAACTTTTTGCTCCTAAAAAGACACCATTAGGAAAATGAGTAGACAAACCACAGACTGGAAGAAAATATTCACAATTTATGTATGTCACAGAGGATAAGTATAGAGAATATATAGAGAATATAGAGAATGTTAAGAAGCTCTACCACCCAAAAATAAAATCTAATAAAAATAAGCAAAATTCTTGAATGGACATAACACTTCACAAATAATATATAAATGGTCAATTAGTCCATGAAAAAGATTTCATCATTATTATCAGAGAAATGCAAAGTAACCTCTGCACACCCATTGAAAGGGTTAAAAGTAATGTCTGCAGTTCTAAATCATGGGGAGGATGTGGACCCACCAGACACACATTCATTGTTCTTGGGAGTGTAAACATGGTGCGTCCTCTCTCGAAAGTTGTTTGACCTTATTTTATTAATTAAACTGATACCTGCCATGACCCAGCAATTCCATGTCTAGGTGTTTATCCATGAGATATGAAGGCGTTGCTCAACATTTCTCTATTAGCAGCCAAGGGCAGGTGCAACCCAGATGCCCGTCAGCAGGTGATTGATAAACACTGCTGTAATGGAGCATTGCTCAGCATGAGAACAAACAGCTGGTACCTGCAAGAACAGAGCTAATGTCTCTCTCTATATATATATATATATATATGATTAGTAAGAGAAACCAGATACAAAAGCACACATACTGTGGCTTCCACTAGTTCCACAGGCAGAACTAGTCCACAGTGACAGAAACGAGACTGCTTTTCTCAGGGGAAGAAGGTACCAGAAACTTTCTGGGGTGATGGAAGTGCCCCACCTCTTGATGGGGTGGGGGGTTACCTGGATACATGTGTTTGTCATAACCACCTGACTTGTATGTACACCTAAGCTCCTTGCCCTTATTCTATGTGAATTTCATTAAAAATTATCAAACTGTCTGACAAGTATATCTTCAGGGAAGTAACTACTTTCCCACCATCCATAAAATGGAGTTGGAAACTCTGGGTGAATAAAATGCAAAGGCAGTTTTTCTGGACATGAGTCTTCTGCAGAGCTGAGAAGTGCTTGGACACCTAAGATGCTCTGCAGGGCTAAGAAATGCCTGGACCTCTAGGATCTCTTCCATTGTCTCCTGAAGTTTCACGTATATGTGTCCTCACATTGAGCTCCTGTGAAGCAAGGTGATGTGAAGGTGGGTCTGTGACGACCCTGGGGGTGACCTACCGCGGCTCGCCCATGGTGTGGCGGGTGCTCATGTATCTGGGGGGCCAGGTATCTGGCCAGATGGCTGGTGCCACACACACCCTTATCCTGTTTTCAGGCGATAAGTCTTTTATGCTGGGACTCTTCTCTTTTTGCAGTGTGAGGCTTTGCCACCCACAGTGTAAAAGGTGATCTCATGTTAGTTTCTGTGTCGGATTAAAGTCTTTGAGCGGCAAAACCTCACAGAGCAGCGAGCGCTAATTACACCTTTGGGCTTGTCGATAATTGAATTCCTTCAAAGTCTTTCCCCAAAAGCCCTGTGAGAGGCTCCCTGAATCTTGTCCTTTACATTTTAAATTGAGAATGATCAACATTTATATCATTTAACAGTTTCACTATGAAATACTTCCAACAGCCAGAAGGCCTGGAGGAATCGTCTTCAAGATGAAGTTACCCATTTCCCCAAATCTCCTGCATCTCCCAGGTTCCATTTCCTGGTGTCCCAAGTGGGAAGTTTATTTGCCATAAGATCCATTTCTTTATGCTCTGACCAGGTGTGATGTCCTCTAAACAGTATACTTTCCCTCTTTAAAAACGTGATGTTGGTGGTACATTCTGCCTCATTCTTTCTGAAAGTGGCAAGTGGCAGTTGCTGGACACCAGGGCGGCCGAGTCTCCCTTGGGCTCCCCCAGTTCTGTGCCTGGTGTCCCGCACACTTCCTGAGCACGTGGACATGAGCTGGGCATGTCCGAGGGTCCAGGTGGGGCAAGGAGTGTGACCTTGTCGTCTGGGCTTCTAGGTTCAGTCGCTCAGCCAACAGCTGGAGCGCTGCAGCTCCCCTACCCCCGCCCACCCGGGCCCCAGACCAGGGGGACTTGTGGGGCAGGCTCCGGGTCAGGGGAGGAAGGCCTGGGGCATCAGAGGCCCTGCCCCCCTGGCTCTCGCCCCTCACCCACCCCTCACCCCCGCAGGACCACCATCTGGGCCCACCGCGTCCGCTTCCTGGAAGAGCGGGCCCTGCCCCACTGGCCAACCTTCACCATCTGGAACGCGGGCCGGCAGGGCCGCCGGCTGTACCGCAGCCTGACGGCGGGCTCCCGGCGCAAGGTGAGGGCCCGCCCCTGCACCACCCCTGCCCCCACCCCTGCGGGCCGCACTGTCCCCGCCCCGCCCCCACCCCTGCCCTGCGGCACCGCCCCCGCTGCCCCTGAGGCTGTGTCCTGTGTCCTTCCCAGGTGGCTGCCTTCTGCGACGTGGACGAGAACAAGATCAGAAAAGGCTTCTACTGCTACGAGGACTCTCAGGTGCGGGCCCCCACCGGGAGCCGCTCACACCACACCTGGCCCACCTCTGGGTGCTATCCCAGGCCTTTTGAGTAGACACTACCCAGAACCTTCCTCCTGGGGAAAGGCCATCTGAGCCCAGATAGCTGCCAGGCTTGGCAGAGGCAGCCCCCAGGCTCCCAGAGTCTCTAGGACCCCAGAGGGCCCCTGTGCCTGCCCCCCGCTGCCCCCAGCCCCACTGAAGATGCTATTCACAGGCCTGGGTCTGTCTACTGCCTGCCTTGGGAGTCCTGGGGTCGCTGTTGATGGCCGGGCCAGGGTGTTGGGAGAGCAGGTCCAGTCCTGGGTCTGGCTGTGGCCCTGGTGCCCATCTGAGGGCATCAAACTGTGAGCAGGGCGGACGTGGGGGAGCAGGGAGCAACACGGGGCAGCCTGCGACCCTTCCCTCCTCTCAGGAAAGGCCCAAGCCCCGGATCCCAGTCCTGCACTTCCGAGCCGCACGGCCACCCTTTGTCATCTGCGTGAAGCTGGTGAGTATCAGCTCTCTTCCTATGTGTGTCTAGGACAGCCCCAGGGTCAGGCAGTACGTCGTGTCCACCAGGAGGGCATGGGCTAAGATGGCAGGTGGCGACCACCGCTCTGGGGGTGGGGGGCAGGAGGGTGGCCTGCATGGGGGCGGGGACGGGAACAACAGGGACACTCCAACCAGGCCCGGGGTGTCAGGGAGCCGGCGGTGCCCCATAAAGCAGGCTGCATTTCCCATAACAGCTGCAGGGGACGAGGCCGCCCAGCTGCACCTGTGTGGCCCTGCGCGCCTGTGCCCACTGGGTGATCAATGTCCTGGCGGTTTTCTCCACCACACCCTTTTCTCCCTATTTGTGGCTGCACGGGTCAGGTGCTTGCTTCTCGGCTCCAGACTGGACATTGGGGTCCCGCAAGGAGGCTATGAGCTGGGTCCTTGAACTACCCTCTCCTCTTGGGGGGTCTCGTTCCCAGTGTGCGAGTTTCCATCACAAAGCCCACTGGTGGGCTCTGGCGATGGCAACCTTCTCTTGGCCTTGGAGCCCTTGGCCAGCTGGCCTGCCCGTCTCTTCTCCTTGGTTTCTGGGAGCCTGGCATCGACAGGTGTTGGCCCTTGGTCGACTAGCGTTCAGCACGTTTTCTCTGAACAACAAGACAAGTTGTGACTTGTCTTTTCACAGGTTCTTCGCAGAAAAACTTACTTTTAACACAGTACATTTATCAGCTTTTCTCTCATGATGAACACTTCTAGTGTCCTCCCATTTTGGAAATTCCTCCTTGTGGTCAGAAAGATAGTCACAAATGCAAGTGTAAAGTGTCCTTAACCCACCTGGACTGTGGGGCCAGTCCTGTGGGCTCGCTTAGAGCGGGGCTGCCCCAAAGTGTCCCTGGGAGGGGCCGGTGGTGGGTGAGTGAACAGGGCCCTGTGCTGTGCCCTGGGGACGGGGGATGGTGACAGATGTGCACACAGACGGCTGCTTCCAGCAGCTTCCAGCCTCTGAGGTTGGAACTTCAGTAACCAGGGTGCCAGGCCAGAGGCCTTCCTGGAGGCAGTGGCTTTTGCAGAAGGGAGGCAGTGTTCATTCAACAGTTAGGCAACAGCAGCAGGAAAGCGAGCAGGACCCGCCTCTCACTCCCACCTCAAGTGCAGACACTAGCTGAGTCTTGGGCTCAGGGAGCCCATGGGCCCCGCACATACTTTCACAGCAAAGGTGGCCCGCTTCGCGTGTACACAGCGGACAAGCCCGTGGAGGGCATCGGAGAAAGCAGAGCCCTTCGCTGGTGACTGGTTTGAAGATCCCAGGCCTCCTCCTGTACCTCCTTCTGCACTGTAGCATCACTCACAGCTTCTGAGTGCAGTTTACTGTGTGGTCCAGGGGCCCCCCAGCCCGGCCAGGGCAGCCCATGTGGATGGGGGATGTGGCTTCCTTGAGGCTGCGCTCCTGCAGGGCTCAAGCTGACACGGTATGGGGGGCGCCGCAGCGTGTTGGTCAGGCCGGGGGTCGCGTGCGGGGCCGGAGCACAGGCTGGGCGTCCCTCTTCTTCCCGTCACTCGAGGCACTGCTGTGGGAGAGCGGGCGTGAGGACAGGCTGAGCCCAGGAGCCTGGCGCAGGGAGTGGCCTCAGAGCACCAGCCAGTCCCGCGTGGCCAGGCCCAGCTCTGGGCTCCAGCCCCGGGCTCCAGCCCCACAGAAGCCGCGAGGCCGTAGAGGTGTGCTTCCCACTGCTCAGTCAGTGACTTTGCACCACGGCTGAGCTGAACACGTGGACCAGAACAGAACTGCAGGGGCACAACAGGCTCTGTCAGTCTGAACAAGGCCACGGGAACATTCAGGTCTGATTTCCACGTGAACGTGGAAATCACTTCTCTCAGACACAGACCTGCGGTGGAATCGCTGGTCTTAGGGCATCTCACGCTCCACCCGTCACCCAGAGGTCCCAGTTCCTCACATCCTCACCCACCTCATGATGTGTGTCTGTTCATCACGGGTGTCCTGGTGGGTGACATGGCTCTCATGGTGGTTTCGATTTGCATCTGACAACTGAGGACTCAGAGCATTTTTCGTGGGCTTGTTAGACATTTCTCTGTCTCCTCTGAAGAATTGTCTGTTCAAGTCCTTTGCCCATTTTCTGAGCAAGTTGCCTTTTAGTCGAGTCCCAAGAATTCTCAATCTTTCTAGATTCAAGTCCCCAGTCAGATGCTTCGGCAAAAGTTTTTTCCTATCCCGTGAGCTGTCTTTTTCACTCTCTTAATGGTGTCCTTTGGTGCACAGAAATGCTTAACTTTGACAAAGTCCATTTTATCAGTTTTTACAGAATACCGTTTATTTCTGGCTGGGTGTGGTCTTGCTTGTAGCCCGTGGGATCTCTCGCAGTGGTGCCTGGGCTGAGCAGCTGCAGCAGGCAGGCTTCGTCGCCCCACGACCTTAGTTCCCCGACTAGGCACTGAACTCAGGTCCCCTGCATTGGAAGGCAGTTTCTCAACCACTGGACCACCCGGGATGTCCCCATTTTATCTATTTCAAATTTGACTGCTCCTGTTTTGGTGTCACTGCTAAGAAAATAGCACCCAATCAGGGGTCATGAAGATTTACCCCTGTGCTTTCTTCTAAGAGTTTTCTGCTTTCTGTTCCTTCATTTAGGTCTTGGACCCATTTTGAGTTGATGTTTGCATGTGGGGTCGGTAGGGGCCAGTTTCATGCTTTTTGCAGGTGGCTGTGCAGTGACAGGCCCAGGGCCAGGTGGCCAGATGGCTCCGGTCCCAACCTGTCACCCTGAGGTTTTCTTGTTAGACTGTTTGCCAGGTTGAACCTGCGTTAACTGTCGCTATATAGCAAACTACAAACTTAGCTTCAAACAACACACATTTATCACTACCTCACGTTTCTGCGGGTCAGAGGTCCAGGCACCACAGGTGGGTTTCAGCTTCAGCTGAGAGTGGTGGAGTCTGCTGGGCACGCTGTCTCATCGGGAGGCTCGTGTGCGGCAGGTTTGCTTCCAGACTCTCGTGGTCACTGGCAGCAGTCAGAACTCAAGGATGTTGGCCAAGGGCCTCAGCGCTTTGCTGGCTGTTTGCCACCCGCCCCCACTCCCCCCCGTGATGGCAGCTTATTCTGTGAAAGCCAACAAGGGGCTGGGTCTGTAGCAAGACGCCCGTCACAGTAACGCATGACCTAACCATGGGGGTGACATCCTAGAGGCAGGGGTTCCACGGGGTGCGGGCGCTGTGAGGCTCGGTCATGGCCGTCTGGGGCCCGGCTGACATCCTAGAGGCAGGGGCTCCACGGGGTGCAGGCACTGTGAGGCTCGGTCATGGCCGTCTGGGGCCCGGCTGACATCCTAGAGGCAGGGGCTCCACGGGGTGCAGGCGCTGTGAGGCTCGGTCATGGCCGTCTGGGGCCCGGCTGACATCCTAGAGGCAGGGGTTCCACGGGGTGTAGGCACTGAGTCAGGGTCATGGCTTTCTGGGGTCTGTCTGCCACAAGGACACTCACTGCTCCTGTGGCCCTCGCCCACCTGGTCTTGCATTTCCTGGCTTGGAAGCAGTTTCTTGAGAGGCCAAGATAAGCGATGTTCCAAGTTGCCAGGGACATTGGATGGATGATGATGGGGTTGCAAGGAGCAGTTGTAACGTGAAAATTTAAACTATACACAGACGATACCTAACTTTTCAAAGAAGATGGGCTCTCTTAAGGGTCTACTTCTCAGGGACCTAAAATAGTCATGAAGCAGACACCCCCACCCATGCAGACCTTGCCTGGGGAGCAGACGTTGGGCGGGGAGTGGGTACCTTTCCTGTTCCGTCACCTGCTCCGTGGCTTTGGAGGGTCCAGAGGTAGAAATGCAAACACAAACGTGTGACTTTTTTTTTTTTTTTGGTCACACCACACCACACCACATGGTATGCAGGGTCTTCCTCAAACAGGGATCGAACCCTTGCCTCCTGCATGGGAAACGCGGACTCTTAATCACTGGACCGCCAGGGAAGTGTGTGCGTGTGTGTGCGTGTTTTAAACCAACATCAGCATGTCATACATACTTACTCTATATTTTGCTTTTTCACCTAATGGTATATCTTGGAGTTAATTCCATATAAATCCACTGGCGCCACCTAACTCTGTTGTTCTTACCTTCATCGTGAAGGGAGCTTTCCGGCACATTTCGGCCAAAGCAGTGAGCCCCCGCTGCTGTCCTCTGAGCCCCAACTCCCCCAACCTGTGATCAAGGCAGATTTTGGCCTTGTTTCTTCATCATTGTTTCCTTAAAAGATTAAAAGCTTAAAAAAACTACCCAAGCAACACTGTCTCACCCCAAATTTCCAGATATCCCGTCAGTGTTGAAATCTGCCTTGTAGGTGTGTTTTATCTTTCCACCCTTGTGTGCTGTAATGCAGACCTGAGGTAACCTCCGTCTCCCTCGCTTTCTTGCGACCTGTTTGTTGATGAAACTGGCTTGTGGTGTAACATGTTTCTAGGGGCTCAAGTCCAGGGTTCCTTATGCTGGCAGGAACGCCTCCTTCACTGCTGGCTAGAGCTTCTGAGGGAATCATGTCCCTCGTCCTAAAAATATTTGCAGCCCGCTCAATTACGCGGCCACCCCAGTCCTCTTGCCTGGGAAACCCCGTGGACGAAGGAGCCTGGTGGGCTGCAGCCCATGGGGTCAGTAAGAGTCGGACACAACCGAGCGCCTCCACTTTCACTTTTCACTTTCACGCACTGGAGAAGGAAATGGCGACCCACTCCAGTGTTCTTGCCTGGAGAATCCTGGACGGGGCAGTCTGGTGGGCTGCCATCCATGGGATCACACAGAGTCGGACATGACTGAAGTGACTTAGCAGCAGCAGCAATTAAATGGATGTTCCATACATTTATTATCCAGATATTATCTATTATTATCTTGCAGAAAATGTACAGAATGTAACATCTTGCAGAAAAACCCCAATGACCTTTCTGGCCAACCGAATACTTACTGATGTAGCTTCAGGCCATTTTTACTCTTTGCTGTTGGAAATAATGCTGCGTATCTTTATATATGCATAATTTTGCTCAAGTGGTACACGCTTGGGAGACATGTTTGAGAGGCGCTGGTCAAAGAGCACGCTCGCCATCAGCCACGAGACCAGCCATGCCGTCCCTGGAGGCTGAGCCAGTTTACACCCCCACCAGTGACCCTTCTCCAGCGGGACCAGATGCACCACCTTTGCAAGCTGCTGGTGAAAACCAGTAAGGTTATGGTTCCAACTGGCAATGTCACGTTGTAGGTAAGGAGGGCGTCTCTTCACATATTTGTAATCATCTTTATTTCCCTTTTGGTAAATTATCCTTTTCATTGGCCCATTTCTCTATTGGTCTCAGTATTTCTTTATATAGTAACAAAAACAAACTACTGTCTGTGAAGTGTTGCAAATTTTTCTGTCATTTGACTAAATTTGTATCTTTTGCCACTTGGAAATTTTTTATTCAGGTATAGTCAAAATAATTTTTCCTTTTAAGGTTTTTAGATGTTTTATTCATTCTAAGACAATCATTCCTCATTATGAAATTTTATAAAAACATTATCTAAGTCTGGTCCTCAGACTCTGGTTTTTTCCTTATATTTTCGAGACAACTGGAATTTATTTTGTAATGAAGACTTTTTCCCTTCCATTAGGATCCTCAGTTGTCCCCACATGGCTTGGTGAGACACCCATGTCTTTGCCTGTCAGTTAGTGCCATCTTTGTGTGTTAGCTATGAATGTGTATTTGGAGCCTTTTTCTACTGATCTGTCTGCTTTGCATTACTGACTAGCTTTATGATGTTCACCACTGAGTGAAGCTAGTCTTCCTTCATTTATTCTTTTTAGAACTTTTCTCACATTTCTTCTGTTTACTCTGAGGCTGTGCCGGGTCTCAGTTGCAGCACGTGGGATCTAGTTGCCTGACCAAGGATCAAACCCAGGACACCTGTATTGGGAGTGTGGAGTCTTAGCCACTGGACCATCAGGGAAGTCCCTCTCACATTTTTCTTTGATAAACTTTATTGTAAATTCCTCACACCTTTAGGAAATGGCCCAAGTGTGGCCTATCAGCTGCGTCTGTAAACAGTTTTACCAGAACAGAGGCAACAAAGGTGTAAATACGAACCACCTGCCCTTTAGGAAACTGTGGCATCTGTTCTAGAACCTGGTGCAGTTTAACAGATGACCAGCCATCCCCCAGCACCGCCTGGTTCTGTGGTTCTGTACTTTCTCAGCTCGTCCTTCAGTCGGAGTGCATGGTCCCGGCTTGTGTGATGGAGTCGGCTGTGTTCCCTGGGGTCCGGCCTCCTCCACTTCATGCTAGAGGCCAGCTCTTCTCTTCCCATTGGTGTTTTGGGATCCAGCCATGGGCGTCACACCAGAGCTTCGTGTGGAGGGTCCTGCCTGCTGTCCTCGGCTTGTGGGGTGGCCAAGTCTTCTGCTTCGCTAGACAACGCCTAGGGAGTGGCCAGGCCAGGGGACACGCCTGGAGGCAGGGGGGTTCCACGGCCCCACAATTAGACAGTGGGGTTCGTTTCCGTCTGATCATTGGCAGGGCTGAGACCTTTCCCACATCAGGTGTGTGGATTTCCTCCCGACGTTTCTGATCAGCTTGTCTACGGGACTGTGTGTCTCCTGACTTGCAGAAGTCCCCTGTACCCTCTGGGTTCTCGTTCCTTGTTGGTTGTATGTCTGACCTTTCTGTTGTCTTAAGGAGGTCTGCGCACTCATGGAAACATCTAACTTGAACAGTTTTGTGAAGTTAGTCCCCTCCCCAGGTCAGGGATGGGCCTGCCTGCCCGGTGGCTCCTCTATAAACCCAGGTCTGTGACCAGGCTGGCCCTGAACCCACATGTGTTTCATTTGAAAATAGAGATAATGGGAGGAGAAAAGGGGGGCTGAGAACAGCAGGTAGAGGACAGAATGTGGAAATTCCAGTTGTTTTCCAGGTAGAATGGTTTCCATTCAAATACTTCTCGCAAAACTTAGGTAATAGCAGTAGTTGCAGAAACAGCCGAGGACAAGGGGGAGCCTCCGTGCGGGGTCCCAGGAGAGGTGACACCTAATGGAGGAACGTGGTGGTCAGGTCGGCCCTCCCAGGTGCTGCTGGAGATGCCCCGCTCTGCTGGTTATGGAGGCAGGAGGGGACCTGGCAGGTGGTGCTGGGACGAAGGACAGGAGCCTGCAGGTGTTTCCCCAAACCCGCTGTGGCTCACGCAGGAGGGCGGGCTGGGGATCCATGAGGTGGCCACGAGGCAGCCCTGGTGCAGAGGCTCAGCCGAAGGGTTTCGGACCACCGGGTCCCAGGGTGCCAGAAAGGTCCCAGGGCGGACGTGGGCGGAGCCTGCCTCCTGCAGGGCCACAGCTTGTCACAGCCATGGGGACAGGCCTGGAGTGGGGGGCAGGAGGCGCTCTGCCTGCAGCTGGTTGTGGAGTCACAGGCTCTGTCCCCAGGGCTGCCTGCCACCTGTGGCCCCTGCAGAGGGCGTGAGGCAGGGGGACAACAGAGAGACCCCAGGATCAAGTCAGGACCAGGAAGCTGAGTCTGCCCTGGACCCAGGCATGAGTGAACGGGACTGCCCATGTGAACCTCACCAGAGTACCTGGTGTGGGTCAGCCACCTCCTGCAGCAGGGGCCCAAGGCCAGGGGGGGTGGAGGCCCCTCAGAGGACCCCCTGCCCCCATCTCCCTGGTGACCAGTGAGACAGCAGCCAGCAGATTCCTTCCGGGCCCCTCCCTCCTCTCAGCCATGGAACAGGAGCTTGTAGGGAGCACCTTGGGGTCCCCGGTGCGGGCTAGAGAGCGCCGACCTGTCGCCCCTCCCACAGGACCTCACAGCGGGCGTGTTTGAGGACAACCTGAGGTCGCTGAACCTGCAGGAGGGCCGGGACTTCCTTCACTTCAGCTGACGGACCCATGGCAGCTGGTCCCAGGTACGTCTGAGGCCCCCAGCAGCTGCAGGGCTGAGGGCCAGCAGGGAAGGAGGGCCCTGGGGCCCCCACATGGGGAACATGCATGTGGGGGGTGGTGCCCAGACACCCCACAAACTCCACTCACCGAGAGAGTGCTCAGTGTTTTTACCAGGCATGTTTTACGTGTGGTCTACGCCCCACCATGTATTTGACACGTGTCCATACGTGGGTACACACAGACCAAGACCCGAAGCAGCTCCTCTGCTCGGGGCAAGGGCTTGGCTGCCCACCACGCGCTCCTCAGCCTCCCTCACATCACTGGCACCAGCAGCTTGTACTAGTCACTCCCGGCTCCCTATGGCCATGAACCCCAGTGCCCGCCTCGTTCCCAGCTCTGGCCTCTGTGGAGTCTGGGCCACGTGTGGCTCCGTCTGTGTGGGGTCAGCCTGCATTAGAGACGTGGGACTGGACGAGGCCCCCCGGGGACAGAGGCTGTGTGCTGACGCTCCTCCGGTGGGGAGTCGGCCCCTCTGAATGCGGCGGAGACCTGGGCAGGGGAGGGAGAGGCCCGCAGTGCCTGGCAGGGGCCGCGGGTGTGAGTGGGCATGGGAGCGCCTCTTTCTTTGGTCGGTCCTAAGTTGGAGGTGTGACCAGAACTGGGGAAGGTGGCAGTTCTGACCACGTCCAGACCACTGGGGGCCAGCGGCCACAGCAGTCCTGTGTTGAGAAATGGCCTGGCACTGCCCATTTGGTCTCTTGGTCTCAGGAGCCCAGTGGCTCTTCCCTGAAAGTGATGATGGTGCCAGTGGGCTTCTCCTTGATCCAAGAAGAAATCATCGACGTGTTGAGTCGTTCGTGTCATCAATGCCGGAGTGAGTGATGACTCCCAGGGATGAGGGCCCTGCCCCAACAGTTCACTTGAACGAAGCAGTAACTCCTGGCTCCGAGGAGGGTCAAGGGGGCTTGAACAATCAGGAGTGGCTTCGTTGTGAAGCCACGTCTGGGTGAGAATTCCCAGCCTCGGTGATTAAAGCACTGGGGTCTCTGCGTGCAGAGGGTCTTGGGAGACCCTTCACAAAATAGAAAGATGTCGATCAGAGGCAGGAGACTGGTGTTCTAGCCACAGGGCTCCAACACCTTCTAAAATTGTGTGTTTTCATACTGCTGCTACTGTTGTCAAAACTGTGTGCTTTTGAAAATCCACACAGTAGCTGTTATTCTTTTTGTTACATGGTCAGTTTTCAGGAATCTGCCTGAAGGTGTTTTTGTCATCACAACTGGGAGGGGTACCCACCGGCCTCTAGGTTGTTGCTAAATATTCTGCAACACACAGGACAGTTCCCACAGCAGTTACTCGACTGGACTGACAGTGTGAAGACTGGAAACCAGCTGTGCACCGAGGAGGGCTGTTGTGCCCACAGGGACCTAGTCTGTCCTTACCAGGTTCGGTCCAGCCGAGGCCGGCTGAGTCCACCACGGCCTCCACACGTCCCTCGAGGCAGTCCGTCCTGTGGCCCAGGTGCAGCGGCACCGTCCTGGCCCGACAGCTGTGCCACACACGTTCTGACCCGTCCGTCTACATCTCTGCTGCGTCCGGACCTCACCCTGGGAAGCAGCAGACGGGAGGGCTCGACCCTCCCGGCTCTGAGCCCGGCCATCAAGTGCCCGGGTGGGGAACCCTTAGGCGCACTGGCTCTGGACAGGCCCGCGTGGGCGCCAGCCTGCGGGGGAGAAGCCACCTGTCTTTGCTTCGCAAGCTCTGAGTGTGTACCCCACTCTGGACGAGTGGAGAAAGGGCACAGACCATGTGGTTCTTCCACTTCCGGGAGGTCACACGCTGGCACAGCGGTGAAGCTGCCGACCACACCCTGTTTTAGTTCGGGGTCTGAGCTGCTGTCACAAGTCCCCTGTGTGGATGAAACTGGTCCCCGCAGCATTCAAAAAAGTGTCAGCTCTGACTGAACAAAACCACACAAAGGTAGGTGACTCGCGATGGCCGTGTGCACTGGATGCTAGAACAGGGTGAGGGGGGAAGACGCTACCCACACGACCCCTCAACAGCCCCCTGCAAGAGGACCCGGTAGAAGGCACCCTCTCTCAGCCCTGTGACCTGACATTAAGTGTGAGTCTCCAAGAGCTTGTCAGTGGATTAGAGCAAGCCCAGCAAGGCCACAGCGGACGTGGTAACAGGACAGCCACGGGAGGCTGCAACCAGTCGTCCCAGGCCTGTGCTCCCGGGCCCCCCCAGTGGGCCTCAGCACGGGGCTGGGGTGGGTGGGGAGGGAACCCCACACGCCCCTCTGGTGCCAGCTCCCAGACCAGACATCCCCGGCACCAACGGCAGACACAGTCGGGGAGCTGCTCGGCAGGTAATTTTATTAAACGCGGGTTGGGGATGAGGACAAAAGCACCGACAGGCCAGGGCACCCGGGCGCAGGATGCATGTGAGGAGACACCACCTCCAGGTAACAGACTCCGGGTCCCTCGTGTGCACCAGCCAGGCCACCGTCCGTCCGCATCTTCCCCGTCAACTGTGCCCGGGCTTCTCCTGGCCAGGCAGGCAGGCGCGAGCTCAGCTTCCAGGACCGGCCTCAGCGGACGGCAGGCTGCGGAGGACACGGGACAGGGTCAGCCAGTCAGTGCCGTCTCCCCAGCCGTCCCTGTGCCCCGTTTCCTGCAGGAAACTGCATCTGTGCCAGGAGCCCTCTGGGCAATGAGCGGGTGCAGAGGGTGACTGTGCTGTCCCCATAACTTCACCATCTTTGCAACATTTTCCTAATAACATCGAAAGCACGTTTCCTCAGGAAGCTGGTGGTGTGCCTGGCCATCACACAAGGAGGCAGAATCAACACTCAGCCGGCCATCACCAGCTGCACCGCCTGGGGACCGACCAGTGCTGCCCCCGCCCCACATCTGAGGGGGTCCTGCGGGGCCCCCAGAGAAGGCCAGGCAAGGGCTGTACACTTGTACGGCAGGCGGGGGTTGGGGAGACTTCACCTCCGGAATAACTCTGCCGCAAGGAGAAGAAATGGAGAGTCAAAAGAGCACAGTGAACCGAAGGACAGTGATGGGAGCGGTGGCTGAGAAGGCACGCCACGACCGCCTGGGCCCTGGGAAGCGAGCGCAGCACAGCCTGGGCCCCCTGCGCGGCGCCGCCGTTCTGAGTGCGGTACCTCAGGAAGGAGCGCCGTCCTGACGGGCAGTCCCTAACAGAGCAGCAAGAAAAGCGCAGGAATTAACAGAAGGGGAAGCGAAATGGTAAAAATGTCATTAACCACTGCAAATGAAGACAAGAAAGGAAAGAAACAGGATTGAAAAGAAATCGGCAAGCTAACCCAGTAAAGCCAAAATCACATATTAAATACAAGTGGAAAAGACACAGTTACCAAAAATGGTTAAACTGGATTAAAAAGAAGACCTAGCTACTATTTATAAGAAACCTAAATATAAGAACGTACACAAACTGGAAGTGAAATAATGAAGAGATAAACTACATAAACACTAAGCAAAAACTCCGCTGTGGCTCTCAACATCACACCAAGGAGACCTCAAGGCACGAAGCATCATCACAGATAAACGAGAATATTTCCACCGATGGTCAGTCTGCAGGAAGAGTCACAAACTTAAAACATGCAGGCACCTGTAGTGAGTGAAAGCGGCTCAGACGTGTCTGACTCTGCAACCCTGCTGGCTGTAGCCCGCCAGGCTTCTCTCTCCATGGGATTCTCCAGGCAAGAATACTGGAGTGGGTAGACTATCCCTTCTCCAGGGGATCTTAACAACCCAGGAATCGAACCAGGGTCTCCTGCATTGCAGGTGGATTCCTTACCAGCTGAGCTACAGGGAACACATCTTCAAACGCATCACAGTTAAGAAAACTGAACAAAGAAATTGAGATTTTCCTCAATCAACAGAATGCCACCAAAGCACAGTCAGGCAGACCTGGGGAGCCCTGTGCAGTGCGTTTAGGAAAAACATACACAGACTGAAAACCAGTCACCTTTCTCAGCCCCCACCCCGAAGCTGGGAGACGGAAAGATGAGAAGACGGACTTAAATGGTGACTGACAAGCAGCTGGTGGCTGGGCGTGACGGGGCACAAGGGCGAGAAGCGCTGGCGCCCTCTCCACGGAGCTCGCTCTCCCGTGTGGTTCCCGAGGACCAGGAGCAGCTCCGCTGCGGACCTGCTGCTGCAGCAAATGCCTCACACTCCACTTACCTCGCTCCTGTTCCCCTAAAAGGCTGGCCTTCAACAAAAACGTACAAAATACAAAAAGGCAAGAGAAAGCAGTCTGAAGAGACAGTGCAGATGTGAGAACCAGACTCAGACTCAGAAATGGCAGAGATACTGCAACTATCAGACCAGGAACTTCAAACAGCTGGGATTACTGCACCAAGGACTCTGGTGGACACAGTGGAAGCCACGCAACGACAGACAGAAGGGCCAGAAGCCACCAAGTCTGTGAATGAAACAGATGCCTCCAATGGGCTCATCCTAAGGCCAGACGTGGCCAAGGACACAATCAGTGAGTTTAAAGACAGGTCAACAGAAACTTCCCAAACTGAAAGGTAAAGAGAAACAAAAGTGGGGGAGAAAAATCCAAGAGCTGTGGGACAATTACAAAAAGACATGCAACATCTCTGCTCCAAAAACCATAAAACACTGAGGGGTCCGTGGATAGAGACACCGTGTTCACGGTCAAGAAACTCGGAGCAGAAACGTCACTTCTCACCTAACGGACCTTCAGGCTGCAGGCAACCTCGGCCAAACGCCCAGTAAGTCTATCCTACAGGTGTAAGTGGGAACCCAAGGGCTGGGAAGAGAAGACGACCATGAAGAAAAAAGAATTGTGAGACTGAGATAACTGGACACCAGGACCCACTGTGAGATCCCAGACCCCTCCCGCATGTTGAGGACTGAGAGCTGCCTCTGTGGCTGCAGGCTGGCTGGCTCACGGATAGACAATCTGGGAACAGGGCCACGCGTGTGGCCTGATGCCACCAAGCAGCCAAGAGGGGACTGATTAGGCAGATCGTAAGTCCAAACGTAGAAAATAATACATCAAAGCTCTTAGGAAAAAGACTGTCAACCCTGGAGGAGGTCGAGATACCCAAGCAGGACCACATTAAGTCGAAGGATGAGAAGGTCGTCCCTGGAGGAGGAGACACACGTCTAGAAAAAGGCCCCTGAAGACAAAAGCAGAGAAAGACGGGCAACCTGGAGAGAACACAAGCGGTCTGACATGCAAGGAAAGACAATGTCCAAACACCTCAGATCTCAGACGAGGTCACGTTCCCATCACCAGGGAAACCAGGGGATGCCCATCGCGGACAGCCACACAGACCTGAGCACATGTGGGGGAGCACCGGTCACTCTGGAGTCTGCTGTCAGCACTGCCCACCTGAGTCCTCTGCCTGGCGAGTCCACCGGAAATGGGAACTGGTGCCCCAGCAGCCCGAGGCGCACGCCTGGGGTGGTCAGGGCAAACACTGGGGCGCGTGGAGACCTAGAGCTTCGACGCCATGCTCTCCTGCACACACGTCCTTCCTCAACCATCTCTCCAGAGCCAGGGTTCCCGCCCAAGGTCAGAGGGACACAGCTGATGGGACAGGAGGAGGGCACGCCCCTCCCCAGGGTCTCAGCTCCTGCAGGGCCCACAGACTGAGAAGAAACAGAGCCCTGATTCTCTGCCAGGAACACACAGAGTAGTCTCAAGTCTCCCAAAGACACACTAGCTGCAAGAGCAGCTCGGACCCTCAATGTCAGGAAACCGCAGCTACGAGGCACGCAGGCCAGGAAGGACGGCGACCTCGGCGGGTGGACGGCAGCCGGCCCTGGGTGGGACAAAGTCCCGGAGTTGGACGGGTGTCCAGGGGGCAGCCGACACAGCGGAAGGCTGCTGTGCTGCTCCAAGGGCGAGAGACTGGGGTGCTCGGCGGTCCAGTCCTGGGTGCTGACACGCCACAGGACACAGGAGACATGCCTGGCGGGGGGGCAGCGGCAGGAACACCTCCCATCGCTCAGGACGGCCCAGGGCTCAGGGCAGAGGCTAGGACAGGCACAGGGTGGGCTCATCCGGTGGGGTGGGGGACAGGTAGGAGAGGAGAGGGTGGGCCTCAGCTCTGCCCCCATCCCACAGGCCTGCGGTGCTACCTCCTAGGGTCCTGAAAGGGATCGACATGGAACGTGCGACTCAGCCTGGAATGTTCTAGACCCTGGAGCTCAGAACAGGAGCTCACAGAACCATGTCTGGAGGTCTCACAAGGAAGGGAACCCGGGTCCCCCAGGTGGCCTGAGGGGCAGGGGATACCTTGGGGACCAGCTGCGGCCTAGGCACGCCCAGAAGGTCACAGAGGCGGTTCCGCTGGGCTCTCACGACCAGGAGCTCGGAGTCCCTGGGAGGAGAAGGCGGGGAGCAGCGTCAGTCATGGGGAGATCTTCCTGGCGGGTGTGCAGAAACCCCAACGCCCGAGATGAGGTAGAGATCAGGGAAGAGGATGCCTCACCTGCACTTGCACAAGGCCCTGCTCCTGAATGCTTTCTCAGGGAACCCCAGAGGATAAGCTCCCCCAAACAGGGAGCCCCACGAGGGGCCATCGGCCCCCCAAGAGCCCCACCCAGGGGCCAGAGCCAGGAAACACCAAGACAGCAGGGAGATGGGGGCCAAGGCACAGATGGGTTTTATTTCACTTTGAAAGCTGTTTACTTACAACTTTCATTAAAAATAAAAATTTAGCAACACCATAAAACTGGGCATGTTTTT